GGTCTGGTAGGAGGCGGGGTGTGGTAGGAGGCGGGGCCTGGTAGAAGAGGCGGGGCCTGGTAGAAGAGGCGGGACACTGGGGTGTGACCTGGAAGGGTTTATCTTCCACCCTGCTCCTCCCTTCACGCTCTGCCTGCCCCTCTGCATGCCACCCTGCTTAGGAGCCCGCTGACCATGCAAGGACTGGAACTTACACAAACTGTGCGCCCAGACAAGCCCCCTCCTGAGCTGCGGTGTCGGCTACTTTGTCCCGGCAATGAGGAAAGTGACTGAGACCATCCCTTTACAATATGTCAGATTGTTTGGTTTGCTGCTGAAAGCCTTCTCATATCCTCCACTTTGCTCCTAATAAAACCCGTAATCCTTACACGGCTCACAAGACTTTATAGATGTGTCCCCATCCCACAATGTCTCTGACCTCAGATCCTACTGCTGCTGCCCCCAGGGCCGCCTTCTCTGGAGTCCTGGAGAACACCACACTTACACATGCCAAAGGTTCTCCAGTCAAAGGGCCTGGGCCTCGCTATTCTGTCTGTTCCTCACGGAGGTCCACGTCGCTACCTCCCTCGCCCTCCTCAAACTATTACCAAAATTGCAGCTCCCCTCACCCTGATCCTTCTTAACCTTTTCTCTCCCTTCTTTGCCTGCAGGACTTACCACATTCACAATAGCCTACAATTTCCTCATTTATTATGGATGTTTATTGTCAGTCTCTCTCCTATAGAATGAAAGTTCTAGCCCAGACGAGACTCAAGCTCCTAGAACAGCACCTGCCACGTGGTACAGATGTCCAATAAATGTGTTGAGTGAAGGAACACCTCTCCATCTGCCAAGGTCAGCTTTCCCTGTTACAATGGGAGAATGGCCCACGTGACAGAAGTGTTGCAGGCAGGCAGGCAAGCTGAGACTTCCCATGGGGCTTATCACAAGCCCTGAAAGACTAGGGGAGGAAATTAACTTTTCCTCATGCGACTTTATGCTGGTTTTGTCACCTTGAGCATTCCAAGGTGTAACCAGCCCCCTGCCGTTGGAAAACACTGGCCACGACACCAGGGCTGGGTGGACCCAGCCATCTCTGTCCATCTTCTGGGGCTCCCTCTTACCCCACAGAGCCTGCTGCCCCACCCAGGGTGATAAATGGACAGTGGCAATCCTGGACTGGACAGTCCCAGGCCTCGGCCCACTAGTCAGCCCCAGAATCTCTGAAAATGTTTCTTTGCCAGGAACTGGCTTCTTGGATGTCATCTTGCCACCTCCTGCTCCCCAGCCTGGGGTGCCCGTGTGACAGGTGGGAGCGCCTTACCTTCAGGGAGATGGGCGCTGTCTCATTGGTGACGAGGAGGACTGCGTGCGGCTGGAGTGTTCTCAGAGAGAATCGGATGTGCCAGTTGTGCACACCTGCGGGTCTGTACTGCACATAGCTCTGACCGCTGAACCGCGTGGCAGTACCTGCAAAAGCCACCAGAAGTGTCACCGCCATGTGAAGTGGCCCCAAGGAGCCTGCGGACTGACTATCTCCTTCAGTCCTTAGGTGGTTCACAAGCTACACAAGAACAAGTGAGGCTGGGATGGCGGGTGTCTCCTCCAGGGCTGCACAGCTAAACAGGGCCATTCCTCTGCACCCCTCCCTCTGGCCCCAGGGACCACTGCCTTAGGGCCTAGCTTAGGGGTCAGGACCCAGGAGTCTAAATCAGAAGAAAGCAAGAGTCAAGCCAGGAATCTAACCAACTGCATGGGTGGAAATCAACATTTTCAGCTTACAGCTTCCATGTCACAGTATTTCTAAAATCATTTGGAAGAGACAGAACTGTGGAGGATTTTGCACATGTGCGTGATTTCCCAAGCACCAGGGCCTTTACCTTGTCCTTGTATCAGCAGGACTGTAATCATTTGGTAAGCACTTCCCAAGTGAAATCCCATGCAGAGTTCAAGAATACTCCAGGATAAACAAAGGGGGTTGGTGGCAGATGGTGTGGCCCAACCTTCTGGAAAGTCCAGCACCCTCCATCCCCTCTTAGCAACTGCTAAAGCACAGTTGCATAGTAAAGGGTCTACAAATTCACCTATCCTGGAGTTTTTCAATTGTATTTGACCCTCAGACATACTTATGTGGATCCCCTTAGGAACAGCATGCTGAAGAATTCCCTTTGAGAAATACTGTGTTAGATTATGTACTCCCTTCTAGAAGTGAGTTCAGCTATTAAATCCCTAAACACACAGTGTAAATGAGCTTGCCATTGCCAGGGAAAAGGATGAATGGCACAGGCTCCAGAAACCTGGGGAAGAAGCATTGTTGGAGAGGGAATGAAGGTCAAAAAATAAGAGAAGGAAGAGCCAGATAACCTGAGGCTGCAGGCGTCCAACATCCACAGTCTACCACACTGGAGATCCCAGCGCAGTAGGGCATTACTGCCTGGAATGCTGAAGATGAGCAAGATCCAGAATCCCCAAACTTGGCCTAGTTTCAAGCTCATCTAGGGAGCTATTTAAAATCCAGAAGCCCAGCTCTTCCTGTAGCAGGTCTGATGCAGCAGGTCTGGGTGGTGCCTGGAAACCTGGATGTTAAAAGTCATCTCACGACATGTGTGGCTGGAAAGGAACTCAAGGGAAGCTTCTGAGATGTGGGTCATACTCTGATCTGTCCTGGGTGCCGGTTACACAGGTATATCCAGCTCATGAAGACAGTTGAGGTTTACACTTATGACACATGAACTGATGTTCTGAGTGTCACACTTCATGAAAATACATTTTAAAACTCTCTCCCAAAGTGCTTCCGCTGTTCAATGAGCCTGTCTAGGATTTATCTAAAGGTAGCCCTTGGGTCACCTGCTTAAAATTAAATGCCAATTATAGGACTTCCAAATCTTCCAAATTTGGAAGACTCCCAAGATCTTCCAAATAATGCAAAAAAATTAGGACTCCCAAGATCTTCCAAATAATGCAAAAAAAAAAAAAAAAAGAATGTGGAGGCTACATCCATGAGTGGGCATCTTTAAAAACCAGGTGAATATGCACAATGTTGAACTTTAGAATCTCTGCTGTCTGATGCCAAGTGGTTGAGAGAGATCTTTCATCCGTGTCAGCTTTCCCTGAAGCAGGCCTCAGGGCAGGAGACACACAGGGATCCCTTCCACAGTACACATAGCCCTACCAGCCTAAGTTCAATGGCCCTTGGAAACAGGTCACAAATCTAGGAAAGAATTTCCAGAATGCAAACCTGGGGGATCGGTAGAGGGTGAGGGTGAGCTGAAGGTGATGTCCCTGCTTTCCCCAGTCAGAGCTGCTCTAGAGCACTGGTCTTAATGCCAAGGGCAGTGGGTGAGTCTCACTGAGAAAACTGAGTTTCTGGAGGGCTCGGTGAAGAGTTTCAGCTCAGAGGAGAACAGAACAAGCACTCAGATAACCCGGCCTGCCTGTGAGGCTCCACAGTGCCAGGCAAAGCAATAAGCTCCCAAACTCCAGTTTCAACTGCAAATGGCTCGGGGCAGGTGACGTGTGCACAGAGCTGGCACGGAGCAGGCTCTTTAGAGCATCAACTGCTCCCCTGTGAGTGACAGCCAGCGTCCATCCTGGCCTGACTGTGGGCAGGCTCCCGAGACGAACTCCAGGAGGCAGTGTGGTTATTTTCTCTGCTTTATAGAATAAAAATTAGAGCTAGGAGGATTTTGATCACTAACCCAAGGCAACACAGCTAATAAATCATAGATCTAGGGTATGAACCTACCCTGAGTCTAAAATTTGAGCTGACACCTAGCGGGCAATGGTAACATTATGAGTAGGATTAGTGACTGGTGTTTATCAAGGGCTTTCTTATAAGGCGGGCACCCGTATAAGCAGGTACCTGATGTTTCATACTCATTTAATCCCTGCAGCAGCCACACCCCAAGACACAGAACGGTGAAGTAACCCTCCTAAGTCACCTAGCCGGCAGGTGGCAGAGCTGAGTCTAACACCGCAGTATATCCTCTTTGCTGCAGTGTTAAACTGCCTACTGTATTCTGTTATTTTCAGAATTCCCCAAAGTGCCAGAAACTGGGTTATCATTCTATGACTAGATTTTGTGAGGCCACAGTGGCCTGTGATGTTTGGCCTTATTAAAACTTCCCCTGAAACCCCCCCACCGAGCCTCAACAGGCTTTCCGGGCTTAGGCAGAGCCCCGCGGGAGGGCCCGTTCCTCACCATTGCAGGAGCAGTTCCTCTCCAGGCGGTGCCGCGGCGTGAGGATGCTGAGCCTGGCCGTGCTGTATGTAGGCCCAACCTCGGGCTCCAGGTGCACCGTCTCTTGGCAGGGTTGAGCCCGGCAGCTTGGCCCCTGGCAGGGCACCACAGGCACGGCTGATCTCATCTGAATTCCCACTGAGTGCTCCATCTCCTTGGCCGAGTGAGTGATGATGGATGCCAGCTCCTGGAGGTTATAGAAGGTTCCGGAATGCCCCTCAAAGACCAAGAGCATGTCCACCCCAGCCGTGGCCTCTGCAGGCTGAAGGCTGGCCAAATGGATGTTGGCCCGTCTAATGTCCAGCTTGTTGCTAAGGAAGCGCTGTAGGTTCCGCCAGTGGTCGCTCACCAGCTCCTCCGGTGTGAGCTGCTGGAAGCCCAGCCACAGGGCCTGCCGCAGAGCCTCCTGCCCCACATGCCACACGTGCACGTGGACCCCAGCAGTGGTGGAGGCGGTCCCGTCACTGACAGTGACATTGAACAAATAGTGGCCACGAGGCAGCCCCTGGGTGGCAATGATCTTGCCATCAGCTGCACCCACCGAGAAGCTCCTGCCCAGGGAGCCCTCTGCTGCCAGGCTGTAGGTCAGAGTGTCCTGGGGGTCTCGGTCTGTGGCGTGGATTTTACCCACCATGCCACCCTGGAACTCCTCCTCCCCAGTGGTGATAAAGATCTCCAGAGGGACGGCGGAAGGCGGGTAGTGGCTCTGCTCCGTGACGCGGACGCTGACCCAGGTCGAAGATGAGAGGGGAGGGATGCCACTGTCTGATACCTGTGGGCAGAACAAACACTGCCATTACCCGACAGAACTCTGGTCCTCTGGGCCCCGACTGAGGCTGGCTTCTCTGGGGTGCCACATCCCTCTGTCCCTCTTGCCTGAGGGCAGGCTTGGTGTGTTGTCACATTTGAAAAGAGAAACTTAACTACAAAAGCGTATGTATAGACTACAGATTTTCTGAAGGTGTAGAGGGAGTTACCTCCGCTCACACAGTAAAACAACTCCATCTCCCATTGGTCATCATGCCAGACACACACTCGGGCCCCTTTCCTTCTGGAAGCTTCCTTGCCTGTCTCTTCCCTCAACAGTCATCCAATGCCTCTTAGCAAACCCCGTACACATTTTTCAAGGCACCCCACCCAGCCCAAGGAGATTCTTTTTACGAGTCCCTTTACTATATGAGTGGAGTAGGAGTGGGCTTTATTCTTCAAGTCAGCCAACAAGTATTTCTCAGGTTCCTTCCATGGGCCAGGTCCTCTGCTGTGATTAGGGAAGCAAGGAGAACAAATGAGCTTCGGAACAGCACGAGTGTTTCGGACTTGGATAATGTGCTGTGAAGGAAATAAACAGCATGGTGTGACAGAGAAGCGAAAAGTGAGGGATGTGATTTAGGTTCGGTGGAAGGGAAGGGGTCTCTGAGGAGTGTTGTCCAGGCCAAGTCTGAAGAGATGAGGTGTGACAGACAAGGGATGGCCCGTGCAAGCGTCCCGTGGTGCGGAAGGCGGTGAGCTCAGCGAAGCAGAAAGAGGCCCCAGTGCTGGAGAGCAGGTGAGGGGGGAGGGCAGCCTCGCCAACAGGCTGAGGGCACACACGTGGAGCTGTGTCAGAGTGACAAGGGCCCCTGGAAGGTTCAGGGAAGGGCGGCACGACCCCATTAAGTAGGAAAAATAATCCAAACAAAAGCTGCATTTTCCTTTCATGTCTCACCACACATCCCTGCAGCCTTCTGCTCCGCTCAGAAGTACAAAGCCTGCCTCCGCCTCCTCTAGGAAACCGTCACTTTCTCGGCTGTCAGCAGGGTCTCCAGGGTATTCCCTACAGAAGCAGCTCCTGCACTAACACACAGTGAGCGCGGGAGCGTTGTGAAGTGACACCTCCTGCTGGAAACTGTGCCGAACCCTGAGGAGACATCGGTGCCAGCAGCAATGGTTCGTACTACGCACAACTATAATGCAAGCTAACGCCAGCTGCAGCAGTAATTAATGGTATGCTCGTTACAATTTGGAGCTAGCGTAGCTGAGGACAGACCGTATGCCAGTAACTTTCACATGCTATAAAGGCGGTATCACAGTGCATCTTTCTTATGAGATGGTGACCAGGAAGTCTCCCACTTTGCAAAATATATCTGGACACTCAAAAAGGTCAGGTAACTCGCCCAGGCTCACACCGTGCAGAGTCTGAGCACGGTGTCCACAATCAGTCTTGGCTCGCTGGCCTGTCTGTGCTGCCTCCCAGCGAATGGAGGCGGAAATGCAGAACAAACTTGAGAGTGTGGTGAGGCCAGCAGCCGCCGGGCACCTGCCTGGGCTCAGCCCTCGGCCTGGGTTTGACGGGATGGGGGTCAGAAGCTGCCCTGTCTCTCTGCCCCCGAGGCAATCATGTTCATGCCTTTGGCGCTGGGAATCATCGACTTTAGCCCATACTCTCCCTGTGAGCTGCTGAACTTTTTCCCTGTGGGAATCAGTTATCTCCCCACACGAGGATGTGCAGAACAGAGCCTCAGTTTACTTCCTAAGCCTGTCTCCCCTCACACCCCTCCCGAGTCTTTCCGGGGTCTATTTTGCATGACCACCTCCTCTTTATCGGTGCCAGCAATGTGAGAGTCACCTCGGTTGTTCTTTTCTCTTTATACACCGCCGTCCAAACCATCAGGAACTCCTGCCTATTTACATACAAGAACTGGCCCAAATCTGCCCAGCCTTTCCATCGTTACCGTCACTGAGAAGTCTCAGCACCACTAAGTAGCGTGGGTGACTCTCAGCGTCTGCCAGCGCTCCACAGAGCCTCAGAATGACCTTCTGAGAGGTGGGGAGATTGCGTCCCTGTCTGAAGCTCGTCAGCCACTTCTCACTGCACTTGGGTTAGAATCCAGAAGTATCACCAGGGCTTAGAGGGAGGGGCTGCACGTCCTGGCTTGCCAAGGATAGTCTCGGCTTTCACCTGTTGTGATCAGTTATCATCAACCAATTATTTTTAGTGCCTGCTGTGGACTGAATGTTTGCATCCGTCCAAATTCATTTCTTGGAATCCAACTCCCAGTGTAATGGCGTTGGAGGGAGGACCTTTGTGAGGTAAGGAGATGGAGCCCTTGTGAAGGGAATCAGTGCCCACCTAGAAGAGGCCACATAGCCAGCTTGCTCTTTCTGCCATGTACAGCTCGGAAGAGGACCCGCTCAAGAACCTGACTGCGGCTGCATGTCCATCTCAGATTTCCAGAATGATGCGAAATAGATGCCTGCTCTCCAGGCCGCCCCATCTACAGTACTCGTCATTCCATGGCAGCCCCAGTGGACTAAGGCGGCACCTCTCCACACTCAGGGACTCATAGTTTGGCCTGCAGGTCACACAGCCGCCCGCGCCGTGAGACTTCCGTGTCCCCCTGGCCTCCACTCCAGCTTCATTCCCACCATTGCTCCCTACTTCCTCCTACACCACAGGTCGCTTCCAACTCTCCCCCAGCTCAAGGCCTTGTTCACCCTGTTCTCCCTGGCCCACCCTCACCGAGCTGGCTCCCTAGGTCTCCCCTCAAATGCCGCCTGTATGAAAGTACATGTGTCCCCTGTCTTGAATCCTTTATCACTTCATTTCTATACCCTCATTTATAAAGATGTTATCCATTTATTGTTATTTATTATTATTTTCTTGCTGTGTAGCCCAGGATGGTCTCAAACTCACAGCAATTCTACCTCAGCCTCCTGAGTGCTAGGATTACAGGTGTGCGCCACCGTGCCAGCTGCCTGTTTAGATTGTAATTATGGAAGTAAACAATAAAGCCCACGAGGAGAGGAGCCTGTTCCTTCCCTCTGCTTTGTTCCTAGCAGCTGGCGTGGGGCCTGCACATGGCAGATGCTCAGTAAATGCTTGTTGAGAGACTAAACAACTGAATGGATAAATGAAAATACATCATTCCAGCCCAGAAATCCACACAGTAGGATCCACTGGATTTGAGATTTGGGAAAGGGATCTGGGGAATGAACCCAGAGAGAAATGTTTGACCACGATGGTGGTCAAACATGTTTTTGGGCAATTCCTATACCACCCATGATAATGCCCCACAATCTCATGCACGTGGGCACGGAGTCACTCCCTTGGCCCAGGAAGTTTTGTGAGGCAGGGTTTCTAGCACCTGAGGCTCAGGAGATGGTCTGGACACATCAAGGTTGTGGAGCCAGAGAGTGGGTGTTCTGCACACACAGGGCAGGATTAAATTTGGGCTCTGCAGTCAGAGTGATTGGGTTTGGAGCAACCCACCTCTGTCACTTCTTAAGAGTACTTTAAGCCCATCACTTACCCCTGTGTGCCTCAGTTTCCTCATCTGCACAGTGGGGCAGTCAGTGTACCTGCTTTGAGGAGCACGATGTGGATTTAATGCAGGGATGCACGTGAAGTACCCGACCCAGCCCGATACTCGGGTACTCTGCACTTTTCCTTACGACAGAAGCCCTGGCTGTGCTTTTGCTAGCATGTCTAGCGTCCCCGTGGTCACCATCACAAACCAGGCGCCTGGTGCAGCTCTCACCTCAATCTGCAGCTGGTACTGTTCCTGAGCCCCCCTGCTCAGGCCTGCCGTGGTCACCAGCCACCCTTCTGGAGTCACTCGGAAGGCGGAGCCAGCGTTGCCCTTGGTGATTCTGAACGAGTAGGGGGGGCCGTTCTCCGGGGAGTCTAGGTCGCTCAGGATCAGTTGCAGGACTTTACTGCCGATGGGGGAGTTCTCCTGAGACCAAGAGTGGCGGGAAGACAGAGAGCAAAATGAGCTTCCCCGGCCCTCCTCCGTGCATCTTCCTGGACCCCGTCATCTAGGAGGAGGCCTCGGCACTCTGTCTGCACCCGGTTGGCACCGTTCGTGCGTTCGTTCTGCTACCTTCGAGCTGCTGCCTCTCCAGCCCAGACCAGACAGGCACTCCCAAGGGCAGTGCTGGATCTTAGAAACAAAGCTTACTGGGACTGAAGGCTTCTTAGGGACCAAGGGGGAGGCCTTTGTTCCACAGAGAGGTGACTCTCGAGAGGTCACACAGCTGATGACTCAAAGAGATAAAGTAGTAGCTAGAAACGTGGGGATTTTGTAATTTGCAGGGTCAACCAAGCACTTACAAGTGGTCTCTTCTTTAGGAGTTCAATGTGCTACACTGTTGAGCAAATTTTAAAATGAATAGGAAAATATGATTGCCTAAATATCGTTTCATGCTTTGTTCCATAACAGGGGAACCCAGTATGGTATCATATTACAACGGCTGGCTGGGTTTTTATTATTTATTTATTTATTTATGGTTTTTTTTTTTTTTTTTTTTTTTTTTCCAGTACCGGGGATTGAACTCATGACCTTGCACTTGCTGGGCAGGCGCTGTGCCGCTGAGTTAAATCCCCAGCCCCTAAGCTGGTTTTTTAGTATCACAGTCTTACCTACCAACAGAATCTAAGACAGAAACTGATGGCTGCCTGTCCAAAAGGTATTGTTTTTCTTATTCTTATAAAACCCTGCTTTTGTGCCTGGGCGTGGTGGCGCACGCCTGTAATCCCAGCACTCGGGAGGCTGAGGCAGGAGGATCATTGTGAGTTCGAGGCCAGCCTGGGCTACAAAGTGAGCTCGAGACCAGCCTGAACTGCATAGTGAGACCCTGTCTCAAAAAGACAAAAAATAATAAATAAATAAAACCCTGCTTTTGTTCAGGCTACAATGACAATATTGTCATGCCAGATGGACCTCTCTTAGGAGGGCACGGACAAAGGTTAGCCCAGGTCAGTTATAATCCGACTCCTTGTGCCAGGTTTTGGTGTTGAAAGGGTGAGCATGGAATCCAGTCCTGACCACTGGGGAAGTTTATCAAGTGATGCTTCTCAAAAGACTTCTTTGACAAAAAGCACCTTTCAGAAGAAGTCCCACTCTATGTGCCTTTAAAGACCGTTGGGCAAGCATGTGATTCTAGAGCTGCAGCCGCCCTCCTGCAATGAGGGAGAAGGTGAAGAAATTTCGAAGGCATTATCCCAGAGCCATGACATTGCTTCCTATTGAAATGACCAATTCTGGATGGAATTTTCCATCATTTTAATAAGTCCTTGTGACTTGACAAACTTTTAGTCAGATCACCTGCTGTTTGTATTGGAAGCACCCTGTCTCATAACGTATAAAGCAGGGTAGAGTAAAGCACCCTAGGTGCTGCGTAGGACCCAGAATTCTCTTGTATCCACTTCCTTGCCTCCCTCACCACTTAAGGCCTTGGCAGTTCCTCCACAAAAGCACAAGGCTTTCTTCAAATCCTATATGCAAACAGTTGCTGTGGTGAAAATGACTTAAGGCCTTGAAAATCATCAGGGTTTAGGTCCGGAGTGTGACACTCTCTAGCTATAGCATGTTTCTGCATCTCCATGTTTGAGACCTGTGGAATAGGTATTATTTACCACACACGGATGTCACGAGCCCCAAATGGGTAGAGGGCAGGGAAATGCTTAACACAAACCCTGATATTTTAATTCCATAGTCCACAGCCCCCTTCAGCTGTTGGCATTGCCTTTAGCAGGGATATCAGTGGCAAAGTCACAGCTGCTGTTTGGATAGTCGGCTGCCACTGGGGAGCACCTCCCACTAGGGGGAACAAAGTGAGAGATAGGCTTTGGGAGTCCTTGCAGGCTCAGACTTACCTGGACAGCAGTGCTGTAGTTGAGCTGGAAGAATCTAGGTGGGTTATCATTGACATCAACCACTTGGATGTCAACGTCTACATCTGCATGCAGGGGAGGCTGCCCGCTGTCTGTGGCCCGCAGCTTCAGGGAGTAGCTGGATGTCTGTCACAAGATGCCCAACGGCAGGTTAGCAACAAGGCCCCTCACATCTGCCCTTGGATTCGTTGCTAATGTTTTCAGAAAGATGACAGAGATGCCTGCCTGGGCCCATGCTCCCTGCCCACCCATGGCACTGTGCAGCTCAGGCTCCGGAATCAGGAAACATGGGTGTGATTTTTACTAGCTACGGGATCTCAAGAGGGAAACTACACCTATGCTAGGATAAGGTCAGGTCCAACTTCTTGGGATCACCTGGAGATGACATGATACAATGCATGTTAAGCATTTAGCAAAATGCACAATGTACAGTAAGTGGTCAGTGAATGGTGGCGCTTCCTGGAATGACCCAGTGATCCCTGGTGAATTGTGAGGAAGGACTGAGCTCCGCTGGGGAAGGTTAAGGGTGCCTCAGTCCTGATCCTGCCTCTCTCAGTTAAGGTGACCTCAAAGAGAAAACTGGGGATGATCTGGGCAGGGGAGGTGGGTACTGGCCACAGTTCATCCTGCAGACCTACGGCAGGGACACGTCTCTGCTCTGAGGAGCACAGATGGGACCCCGCCATTACTCACCTGTTCCCAGTCCAGGCTCTTGGCCACCTGCAGCTCCCCCTTCTTGGGGTGGACGGTGAAGTGCCCAAGCTGATTCCCTCCTACGAGGCTGTAAGTGATGGCGCTATTGAGGGGTCCATCCTCATCAGTTGCTGACACCTGTCGTGGGGGATAGGGGTGGTGAATGGAAGTGCAAGGGGGACCAGAAAGGAATCTCAGCCCAGGAGCGTAGAGGGACAGACAGGTCCCTGCCTCAGTGGCTGCCACTGGCTGTCATCCTTGCCAAGGAAATCGCTCATGGATTTCAGCATGCTGTGCATTCATTCATAGTGACAGGGGCTAGAGTCTGTGCTGGAGGCTAGAAGGAAAGGAGTGGGCCAAACGAATATGCCTGCAGGGAATTTATTATCTAATCTTACGGGTGAGTCTAACTTGGGGCAAAGTATGATCAGAATACACTGATCCAGGGGTTGGGGATTTAGCTCAGTGGCAAAAGCGCCTGCCTGGCAAGCGCAAGGTCATGAGTTCAATTCCTGGTACCAGAAGAAAAACAAAAACAAAAACAAGAATACACTGATCCATTCCACTTGGGGAAATCAGTACTGGATTCGGGAAGCCCTGAAGGATGAGGGCGCCCGTGAGGGGCCAACTGTGTGTGCCCAGAGGAGCGACATGCAGATGTTCAGGGAGACGTGTGCACCTTCGTGTACGCATGGGGAAGTAGAAGGAGGGAAGAGGGGCCGGGGATGTAGCTCAGCAGCACAAGAGCCTTCCTGGCAAGGGCAAGGTCCTGAGTTTGATTCCCGGTACCAAAAAAAAAAAAGAGGAAAGTCTGGGAAGCAGAATGGAGGAGGACAAGAACTGTGGACACGGGCATCCAGAGTCTGGCTTCACTCCACAGAAGGAGGGAGCAACTGCACATGAAAGTGTAAAGAGGAACTATTTGAGGTCTGCCCATCCCTGTCCTCTATATACGGGCATTCCACGTCACCCACCGTGACCAGACCCTCCCCAGGCTTTGGAACCTCTGGCAGACCTCTGGGGTCCGGTCCATCTTCTCTCTTTGCTGTCCTACCAAAGCTTGCCTGTCCCATGCCACTCTATCAGAATCCAAATTTATCAAATGGCTCTGGTAGGTCCTGTCCCAAGAGATGCTTTGGCTGAGTAGTTACCAATCAGACCCAAACCTATAGCATATTAATGTGATAAATTAATCCACGCTCACAGATGCCTGGGAGCAGAGGGTGTGAGATAAGAACCCACCCCTGAGTCCAGCCCCACAGAGCAAAGCTGTGGATCCTTACTGTGAGGATGACTTCACCCAC